TACAGGTCAAATGCAGGTTTCAGATCAACGCTTACCTCCGGTGACATCCCAGCGAAAAAGCCTCTCCTCTGCGCCAGAGGCCCGAGAAGTTCTCGAGTCATCCCGACAGCAACAGAACTCTCGATCACGACAGTAGTGCCGCGCCGAGCGTACTTCGCTACTTTGTCCAAAGCATCTCTCATGTACGATGTATCGATGGACTTGTCTTTCGACACGAGTGTGGGTACCGAGACCAACATATGCGTCGCTCGGGTCAGGTCTTCGGGTTGTGTCGTCAATGTGGCTTTCGTGCCCTCAGCCAAGAACTGTTCTCTCAGGAGCTGAAGGCGAGACTCGCTGATATCGAAACCCAGGACGTCGTAATGACGGGAGAACGCCTGGATGAGATGCGTTCCAACGTACCCACATCCTATGACGGCAACAACCGGTGTGTCGTTTGGGTCTACTGAACCCAGAGTGTCATCCAAATCCTGGTAGGTGAGTGTCTGCTTAAACTCGGGATTTGTGGGAGTGATCGAATAGACTATGGGGCTGAACCCCTTGTCGGCGTTGGCGACATTTGCCAAATGTTCCATTGACAGAGCGTCGAGAGTTGGAGGGAACATGGTCATTTTTTCCTCGATTTTCTGTTTGAAAGAAAGATAGTAATATGGAGTGTCTGAATTTTTACACTCGGAGAACTAACAGCTCAGAACCGACTCCTGACGCTGGAAAGAGAGTTGTTGCTACTGAAAATATACAATGTCTACGACGTTGGATAGAAAGAGAAAGGACTACAAACTTGGCTCAGCTTTTGCGAGAATCATTGACTGGTTATATAGATGCTCCTCCTCTAGGGCTCATTAGGGCCACAAGGCCTCAGTTGAATCCAGTGTGGGCCTCCGAGGAGCACGAGTCGCTCTCTATGGCCTCGTGGGGAAGAAGACCATCATGCCTTTTTGCCATGATGCCTCCACCCATAGAGAGCCGCGAAACACTATAGCAGGGGGATCCTTCCATCGAATCGTGGATCTTTTCGTTACGTATTAAAGATGGGGTTCGAAGACCCTGGATTTAGATCTCGTTGATGTCCAGTATGTCATCCTAGTTCTCGGTTAAAGTTCTTCTAGTTCTGAACTAATTAACTTTATTTGAGGTCTCGACTGCTACCCTCAGGGGACTGACTAGTCAGCAGTACTTAGACCAATGGTGACCCCAGGGGGGAAACCCAAGTACCGGGGAGGCTTAATCGTACTGGGAGCTTTTCATCTGTTCCATGAAAGCTTATATGGAGGCACTAATTCAGTTAGAACGAGATGATTCTTCCGTCGATGAGATGACTAGCCAATAACAAAATTCATCGGGGTCATCCGGATGTTAGGTATCCCGGATAGCCTCCCGTGGCGAGGAGTCCGAGCAGACGACCATCCAGTAAGACTTAGATATTGCTAGTGTATGCGCAGACGTTCCGTACATGCGGCTCTGATCCGTTGAATGAGCTTGACCTGCGTAATGGTAACCCCCCTCCCCCTTTTGTATTCCCGAGGTCCTCAGCTGCCCTGGATTCGATGATGCCCAGCCCGAGAGATGCTGCTGCCATGTCTCGGGGGTTGAAATCGCCACCTTAGCGCCAAATATTTTTCGGGGAGAGCTCCGGTTATGTCTTGCTTCCAGACTCGTACCCATTTCTTCCGATACATGACGCTTTTTCTCCCTTTTCACTTTGCTTCTCGTCGTCGTCGTTGCTTCCCACGCTCGCTGTGTCATGACCTGAAGCAATTCCCAAGTCAAACCCATCAAAGCTTGGTTCGTCGTATCTCAATTGCCCTCGATCGGGACCCAGTAATGAGCGATGCATTGTCCCCCATGGATACTACTCCCCCCAGCCCTACCGCGGCTTTGCCGACGACCAGAGACTCGCTGTCCTCTGGAAGCGAAAAGGAAAAGAAGAAACCTGAGGCAGCCGTGCTGTCAGAGGCTGAGCTTATCGCGAAAGGCAAAAAGAAAATCCAGATACACAAGTGGCTGTTGGCTGCATTCATCTTCACGTGCAAGTAAGGCCGCGCCCTGGTTTACCTGTAACTCGATAGCCATATACTGACGAACTGATAGCTTCTTGTTGATTTTTGCGAGTTGGTGGTGGGCCAAATATTATTACATCTACCTTCCCTTGATTTGCATGCCCGTGGCGCTGAACGTGATCATGATAATAAATATCTGTATATGGTCGATAAAAAACCTGATCTTCAAGCCGAAGTATATCACGCCGGAGAAGCCGGAGACGATGGTTCTCCTCATGCCATGCTACAACGAGTCATTCGAGGAGTGTGACAAGTCCCTCAGCTCGCTCGTCAACCAGGTCAACATCAGCGAGCACCAGAAGGCCATCATGGTCATCTGCGACGGCAAGGTCCGCGGCCCGGGAATGACGAAATCCACGGGCCAGTACCTCAACGAGGACATCCTCGTGGACCAGACCGAGCGGAAGATGATGAAGGAGGCGTACGTGGCCTGGGACGGGCAGATGATGGACATCGAGATCAGCAAGGGCACGTACAAGGGCGTCCCGTTCTTCTGCATCGTCAAGCAGCAGAACCAGGGCAAGCGCGACAGCCTCATCGTGATCCGCTCGTTCGTGTACAAGTTCAACGTGCGGCAGGAGCGGCCCAAGGTGGTCTTCACGCCGCAGTTCTTCAGCGAGATGGCGGACTGGATGGTCAACGACGCCGGCATCGACAACATCGACTACCTGATCGGCATGGACGCCGACACGGTGTTCGCCGACGACTGCATCACGCACCTGCTGAAGGAGGCGCGCCACCCCAAGACGGTCGGCGTCTGCGGCTACGTGGCCGTGGACTTCTCGACGACGCAGTGGAACATCTGGTCCATCTACCAGTCGGCCGAGTACACGATCGCGCAGGGGCTGCGGCGGCTGCACCAGAGCGTGGTGACGCACAAGGTGTCGTGCCTGCCGGGCTGCTGCCAGCTCCTGCGGGTCTGCGACGAGACGTGCGGCGACCGCATCCTGATCGACCTGTTCGGCTACCACCCTAAGGTGACGGACGGCATGCTCAAGCAGATCCGCGCCACGGCGTCCGAGGACCGCAACCACGTCTGCCTCATGCTCATGGAGTTCACGCACGCGCAGACGCGCCAGGCGCTCAAGGCCCGCGCCTACACCGACGTGCCCCACAACATGTCCGTCTTCCTCAGCCAGCGCCGCCGCTGGACCCTCGGCGCCACGAGCAACGACCTCATGCTGCTCACATCGTCACCGCTCCGCTTCAACCTCTTCGAGCGCATCGTCGCCCTCTCCAACGTCACCACCTGGACCCTGAACTTCTTCGTCATCGCCAGTATCGCCTGCATGATCAACGCCTTCATCCGTAAGTTACCCAACTCCGCAACCAATCAGCACGCTTCCATCCCTGTGCCTTGCCTCCTATCATCCCTCGATCCTTGAGATTCGTTGTTGGGAGAGCACAGGGGACTCGTTCTTGCCTACATACCATAGCCGAGCTTATAGTAACACCTCCCAGATCAACCATGGTGGATCTCCCTCGCGTTCGCGGCGATCATGGTGGTGCCGGTGACATACTACATCGGGATCACGTACTGGATACCGCGGAACCGGCTGGAGCGGTGCCAGTACCTGGTGGGGCTGGCGATCTTCGTGACGTGCGGGCCCTTCATCAACATCAGCGTGTCGCTGTACGCCATCTTCTACATGGACAACTTCAGCTGGGGCAAGACGCGGCAGGTGATCGCCGAGCCGGGCGAGGGCGAGGAGGGCGCCGCCGCCGTCGCCGCCGCCTCCCCGACCCCGGGGGCGGGGGAGAAGGAGAAGATCGTCGAGCCGCCCGCGCCCGGCCTGCCCGTGGACCTGGACAACCCGGCCGCCATGGCCAGCGGCCACCGCCGCAACACCGTCCCCGACCTCGAGAACCAGCTCGACCAGATCCACCAGCCCTACATCGCCCCCGCCGGCCTGCGCCTCGGCTCCGTCTCGTCCGCCCAAAGCTACGCGCCCCCGGAGCGGTTGCCCGACATACAGGAGAAGACGGACGAGTCCAGCGATTTCCGGCCGAGGTTGCCCGACATTCGACACTGGCGCTCGGACGGATGAGAGAGAGTGTGTGTGAGAGAAAAGAGAGAGAAAAGAGGGGCGACCGGTGGTGCGAAGTGAGTTGGTAGGAGTGGTGAAAAGTTGTTTATCTTCTTGTGGTGTGTTCTTCTCGGGATTGAAAGCGTGCGATGTGACGCGATGGGATGTGGAGATGTGTGACCCCGACAGCTTGTTGAGAGAATAGGCTTGCCTTCTATTTCGTTTTTCTGTACTTGCTTACATGCGCACTTATGTATAACGACTATCAATCAACTCCTGTCATATGGGAACGATCTCGATCGATATTCGCGTTCACAGCGAACCGTAGATGTGATCCTGTGAGAGGTGTTGCCATCTAGTGGTTTCGGTACTTCGTCTCAAACTCACATGGCGTACTGATGACTCGACCTGACTCTATCCCGGGATCTCTTGAAACAGACCAATTGAGTAAGAATGTAGGCGCCTACCACTCGGAGTTCTCACGCTCTCTCTGCCTTACTCGCCAGGGCTTATCCTGCGTTGCCTGTTCTTCTGAGCTGTACGAAGTAGTTCGTAGAATTTATGAGGCTAGCTAGATACTTTGATAATCTGACCTATTCGTAGGCTCCATTTGGCTGGCATCAACAAATGACGGGCAAATGACCTGGCCCTTGCCCTATTTAGCACCACAGGTTTAGGTGCCTGTTGAAGCTTAACTAGCGAGCAGCTAGATCAGAGACATCCACTTAATGAAGCGAAAAATCGACTATTAGGTAAATCTGGGCACACAGAAGCTCTTCGAGTTACCCAACGATACGACACATTCATCTTCCTCTGGGCCCAATACCGACTTCTGATTAGCAGATGCACATTCCAGAACACACTACTGCTACTACTACTACTTAAGCTGACTTACGAGCCCAAGAATACATCAGCTGGCGTGGTCTAATGGTTATGATTTCTCGTTAACATCCCATGTTAATACAGTATGTTCAAACATCCGAGAAGGTTCCGCGTTCGATCCGCGGCGCTAGTACAGATCCCGATGATCTCTTTTTGCCTGTCGCAAGTGCTGCTTTATATAGGTAGCAAGCAGTACTGCCCAGGTGAAGCGTTGACGTAACCTCAATACACTCGGTCCGGACTCCGGACCCCGCGATTAACCATCTGCCACATAGGGTGATGATCAGTGACCACTGATGCTTTGCATTGGTCATCTATTGAGAAGTACCTAGAGGCTAGAGACACTGCGTGCTCATTGCCGGAACAGTCTCATCGATGTCGCATCTCAACTTTTTCAATACTCATAACTACACACAACCTGGCATTCCCATGGAAGTTTCGATTCTTTTTTTCTTTCCCACTCGCGGCTAAGTTAGCGCGAGTGCTAGGGCTGACGAACCGCCTCACCCTCACCGCGAGGGCCTCGGGCATTTTACCGATCGCTCTCAGCCGCCTTGTGCCGCCCTTGGCAAAACATAACTACTACGGGCGCCCGATAGGTAGCAGTCACTCCCGGGTTCGTCCTTCAAGGTTTGGAGAACACATTATTGCAATGGGCAAAACTTGCGATGCTTGGCAGTGGTACACTTAGTCTCGTTTAACTCGTGTGTTGTCAGATCGCAGCACAACACAGAACCGTGGGCATCGACTCTCTTTACGCGAATAAAAATTTGTATGAATTTGTCACGATGGTTGCCCACCCTGCCACTACGGCCACCACGGCCACTACGGCCACCACGGCCACCATGAATTATCGCAATTGTAATTGCTACCTACCTACAAGTAAGAACTAAGTAGTATACGAGTTTAATGAGGCACTGTCGCTCCCAATCTGGACAGCCAAGAATCTTGGACTCAGGGGGTCTGTGCCGACCGAGCCGTGGACCCCGTGGACCCCATGTTTCAAGAAGAAGCCCTGGAGACTACCTACTACATACAACTACATACATATACTTGGTTCCATTGTTATCCTCTAGCATTGGAAATTGATTACCCTGTATGTGCAAAGCCTTAGCTGAGATCATGCTTCTATGCGCAGTATTGCAGTTCTCGGTTCGAGACGTAAGATCAATCGAACTTTGATTTGGGCGTGTTGCGTGTTGCAACGCACGCATAATCGGCAGGTACGCACACGCGCAAGCTGCTGATTAAAGAGTGGAACGGCATGACTTTAGGTTTGTATGTACAGGGACCCTACGAGCTTATGAGCCTAATTATGGCAGAGATGGCATTCGTCAATCGGTATGGCAACTCCTTTTTCCAATGCAGACAAACCTGCGAGTTAACCAAGTTAATGCGCGTACCAAGTGGATCGGCCACTATTATAGCGATGGCGATGCCCGGCCGGCAATTGATTGAAACCTGAGGCTGTGTCGGTTGCTTCCAAGTTCCCACGTATCTGGCAGTTCTGGACATCACTCCGTATCACCGCGACTCTTTTTACGTACTACATGGCGAAAGCAAGGGCAGTGTCCTTTTGGCATAGACTGCAATAACCGGTTAACTGTTAGGTAGGTACCAACTTTCTAGGTAGACTGTACCAGGTACGGTAGGTGCAGATAACCTGGTACCTAACCCCATCTGATCGATCAATGATCATTTAACGTTGCGTTCCAGGTTGTGCAAGGTGGCCTCCTGTGGCAGCGCCGTAAGGCAGTCAGTCTCTCAGTCAGTCTCATCCCACCTCCAATGTGCCTTCCTTTATAAGGCATAAAAACATGCTTGGCGCCTTTTCGTTTGCGACGGATTTCTCGAAGTACCTGTAGAAGCAACTGCTCGTAGCGTCTTCAACTTGGCGCAACCTGGAATTGGCCGAGAGTTGACCTGGAACTGGTGAACCCTTCCTGCCAAGAACTGCCAGAGTAGGACAAACGACGTGGTTTGTGCAAATCCACAGTTCCATTCTCACCTCAGTCCAGGTTTGTCCAATGAGTCCATGCGAGCCCCGAGCGGTGGACGGTTTGATGAGTGATTGACGTCTTGGCTCAGACCCAGAATTTTTAGACAATCCTTCCCGTATTAACAGACCGTCAATCCCATCTCCGAACCGTGACTTTTTCCTCTTCTTCCTACTCTTGTTGCTCGTTGTCGTTGTCGTTGTCGTCGCGTGCTGTCGTGCTCTTGCTTGCCCGGCCTTCTGTTGCCAGCATTCCCACTTCTTTCCCTTGCTTGAACCATGACAAGAAGAGCCCAAGACTTGCGTGCTATAGTACCCCTTGAAACTGTATTGTCCCCCATCATCTAGCGTGCCCTGGGCTTGGCTGGTTACATAGGTAGCCAGTAGCTACGTTTCATACAAGACATACCTAGTTGGGTATACATAATATAGACTACGTGCGTACGTAGCCGAGGGCAGACCGAGGGCGAACGAACTTACACCAGCGAGCGAGCAATAATGAGATACAGCTACGCTCGCCTGGGTCTCATAGCCACCGCCGTCTTCATCCTCTTCTCCACAGTATTCTACGCGACCCTGCCCGACGACCGGCCCTTCTCCTGCCGAACGCTTAAGACATGCGGCTTCCGGCCCCCGCCCGCGTACCCGCACGAGGTCCCGGCCGGCTTCTTCAACAACACCTCGGAGGATGAGGGCCAGTGGGCCGACGGCACGCTGTACTACCGGCGGGAGGTGCCGGGCGCGAAGCCGAAGATCCTGTTCCTGGCCATCAACAAGGACGCCACCACCTGGGGCAAGGACAAGCTGTCGACCGGGCGGACCATCGAGGACTTCGTCAGCCTGCTGATCACGACCGACCTGGACTTTACGGGGGTGTCGCTGGGCGTGATGACGGCGTCGCGCGACGACTTCGACGCCATCCGCCGGGCCGCGCAGCCCTACCCCTTCGCGCGCCTCTCCGTCTTCTACCAGGCGGACGACAACAGCGGGCCGGACATCCCGTACGCGGACCGGCACAAGCCCGAGGTGCAGCGGCAGCGGCGGCAGCGCCTCGCCGTGCTGCGCAACTACCTGATGCTGCGCAGCCTCGAGGACGAGCCGCACCTGGTCTGGGTGGACGCCGACATCGCCGAGTTCAGCCCGGGCATCGTGCAGGCGATGGTGGCGCGCGCCGAGGCGCGGCCGGGCGAGGTGGGGCTGATCACGGCCCGCTGCTCCAAGTACGACGACGCGCCGCCGGGCGACGACTACGACCGGAACGCGTGGCAGATGGACCGGAGCGCGCCGGGCCTGCTGGGCCCCGTCGCCGAGAAGGACCACGAGACGGCCGCGCTGCGGCTCGGCAACACCCGCCACCAGGTCGACGAGCTCGCCGCCGGCACCGGCGACGACGACCTGATCCCCCTCGACAGCGTCGGCGGCACCATCCTCTACGTCCGCGCGAGCCTCGTCCACCGCGGCCTCAGCTTCCCGCCCTTCTACGTCGTCGGCACCACCTTCGCCCGCGACGGCTGGGTCGGCATCGAGACCGAGGGCATCTGCTACATCGCCCAGCAGCTGGGCGGCCAAGGCACCGGCTGCTTCCTGCTCGGGGGCAGCCACAGGGTCCGGCACGTCGATTCCGATTGAGCGAGTGAGCAAACCAGCGCAAAATTTTGTTGGTGCGTGCGTGCGTGCGGACGCTGTACTAGATGGTCTTCTAGTTAGGCTGGCCCCATCCTCCCTCCCCTTATATTTGGATTTCCCCTCGTCGCCGGGATGAGGGACGGCGAGACTGGCGTGCGGTATTCGCGTGTATATATATATCCTGTCCAGCGTCGTATTTGGCTATTACCCCTCCCCGCACTCATCGCCATTACCTACATACCTACCTACCTATATACCTATCTACCTACTTTTTGATACCCTTGCGTTAAAATTCGGATAGTCAATATCGACGCGGTTTTCGTTTCCTCCCAGTTCCCGCAGCGGGCTTAACGGACGAATCAGTGCACGTGCCGTCATTGCCAAGATGCCGCGATTGCGTCATTCGGGAGTTTTGCTTTTACTCCGCTACTACCTACTGCTGCTGCTGTTGATGACGTAAGGCGATCTATATTGGGAATAACGGCCTATTCGTCACCCTTCGGGTTGTATCGCTATCGCAGGTGGGATACGTACGACAAGGGAAATAAATGCAAGCCGCAGAGGCTACGAGTGCGAGCGGTCGACAATGATGCTGTGGATTTACGGAATCCCGTTCGGGAAATAAAAGGTCTCTGGGGAATGCGCCCCGTAACTTGGCATCTAGAACTGACGCTACCGTCGCTACGAATGGGAACAATGCTATGTACGAAGTAATTACGGTCCACGGGGTTGGTGGACTGTTGGGAAGTAAGATGGTGCCCGGGAAGGTAACTGTATACTATTCAAGGTGTATAATAATTACGCGCTATCTGAACTGACCTCAAAGGTCCCGTAAACAAGAGTTTAATTAAATTAAGATGAAAAGCTGATGCGGGTCCGGAAGTGGTCAGGGGCTATCACGTGGTTCCGGTTCAGCAGGTTCCATGATGCCGTGACCCCAAGTCGTGATAGTGATAACACCAAATTGGGAGGCAATTGCGCTGGTGAAATTTGCAGCGCATTCCCAGGCTATCATTCTCACTTGTGTATGTATCTCGTTATATCGTGGGAAAACGACCCCTGCCCTTCCTTTGGAGATTAAAGGGGGAAGAAGCCCCCTTATATAGCCAGGCTGGCAGGTTGCTGCTAAACTAGTGCTGCCCATCTACATAATCCCATGAGAATAGCTTTTTGTATGCGATTCACAATCGTACCATTGGCTTCTAAATCTTTTGACCGTAATTACTTGGTTAATTCCTTGTCTGTCTAAGTCTAGGACTACCTATCGTGTAATAATGTTTTGATCTACCCTTGTCTTGTATAAGGTGCCGTTCGCAAGCAGGCTCAATTCATCAAGTTTGCTGAACCGGGCCTGGTTTTCAACAAATGCTCTGCTCTAGCTGTGCATTCTCTAGAGTTGAGAGGCGAAGAAATACCGTTTAGGGATTTTAGTCTCATTTTCCCTTTTCCGTGAGCGAGCTTCTCCCAGTCGAACAGTTCCGGCCGATACGGGAGCTGATGCGCATAAACGT